TTGCTACTCTAACCCATGTCTCAGGCTGTCCTGTTGAAAGACATGAAGCCATTTCTGGATGCGAGCTGTTGTTCAGAATGAGCTTTGGAGGGAACTGAAGGACACTGCAAGTGCAGCAGGGAGCTGACAGGAGCCAGTCTGCCTGAAAGCAGGCATGTGTTGGGGTCAGAGGACACAGAAGTCAGTCATGAAGAGAAAATCCTACCTCACCTACTTATAGAATCATAAAGTGTGCAGAGGGGGGCGTATGTGGCCCGAAGTTTGGAGTCCAGCTAGTTGAGGGCGAAAGGCCGACACCCCTCTGCAATTTCTGGCCAGCACCCTTCGGCGTCTGATGGCCTCGGGCTGCGCTGGCTGCGGACTGGCTTACACCGCTGGTATTGGGGAGGAACAGAGCTGACTATTTCACCGGGGGTTAAACGTCGGTTTATTGAAGGTGTTGCGGGATCCAAACGCGGGGAAACGAACCGGGAAAAGTTTTTTCAATAGGGGGTGAAACAGGATTATAAAGGAGGGGGGTGGGTACAGGCGGAACCAATCGGGAAAGGTGAGGGGATGAACTTCACAGAACTGACACTCCATGGAGACCAATAATCAAAAGGTAAAGGAGGTGTCCTGGGACCCCAGCCAGCCACCACCTCCAGAGAGGAGAAGGTTCTCAAAACCTGGGAGGAGAAGGGGGTGATTGACTGGGCCCAGGGAGGAGACAACTTTCACTTATAAGGGAAACCAGGGGAGGAGCAATTACATATCGGCAACTATGAATAGCGAGGTTACCATGGCAACTTAGCTGACAGGGTAGCAGTGGCGGGAAATACTGGGGAAACAAAACCATTTTACACATAATAGGGGAGAACAATACATAAATTGGGGGAATAACACAAGAAACTTAACAACACACTACAACAAAAGTGGTTGGGGCTGGAAGAGACTTTGAAGATCATCTAGTTCCAGCTCACCTTGCCATGGCCAGGGACACCTTCCATCCAACCAGGATGCTCAGAGCCCTATCCAACCTGGTCTTGAATACTTCCAGGGATGGGACATCCACTACTTTGAGTAACCTCTTCCTTTGTTTCACTTCCCTCATATCAAATACTTGTATTTTGTGTAAGCTGGAGTCCACTTCTGAGCCCAAGACTATTATAGAGATGGCAGTATATATAATAATAGATGGATCAAATATTTTAGGAAGAAAGTTGTTGTGGGTATACTCAAAGACTGTAGAAAAATGCACTTCTACATTACTGGTGATAACTAACTCCAAAAAAAGATTCTGTCCAGTCAAATTTACACTTTGTCTTTTGTCACTAACAACTGGTGATGTGTGGATACACGTTGTGCAAATGAACCTGCAGTGCAGAAACAGAGGAGGGTGCATTTTGCTAATATATTTCAAATCGCAGCAGGAACAGAGTGGACTGAACTCTTCCAGAGAAATGAGCCATCTGTTAAAACAATGCACTTTCATGTTGCATAGAACAGTTTCTGACCTCAGCCCCAATTCATTAAATAATTTCAGCCCTTCCCAAATATTTGGCTGTTTTGTATCTTTGAGATAAAATAGTTTTATGCTACTCATGATATTTCGAAGCTACAGTATCTAAAATTTTAAAAGAAGCAAATATAATATTTCAGGTCAAACAAAATATTTAGTCTGACTGAAACACCAGCAGACCTACAAAAGCGGTTTTTTGAGTATTGACTCAAACCAGTTTGTCTGTAATCTGATGTCCAAGTGCAAATTCCTGTTAATGAGAGACTTAAGGTGAGATATATTGCTCCAAACATTTAGTGTTGATCCTCCTATCTGGTAATCTTACTACTAGTGCAACTACCCTGACTGTAAATATTTGTAGGATTTGATTCCTGGACATTTGAATATTTTTGTTGGAATAAAGATGTACCTTCAAATATGTTCTTTATGCTTGGAAAAGGAAGGTACACAAGTTTTCTAAAGGGATCTGATTTGGACAATAGGTATCTTGACTGGAAACTGAGGTTTATATAACCAGTTCCTTGTCTTTGAAATGAGATAATGTGAACGTCAAAGCTTCAAAAGGCTATGTCAAAACATGTCTTGAATGATTACTTGTAAATTTATAGAGTCATCCCTGTGCATTGACAGGATGTACCTCTGGCATTGTCTTAAACCATTAGGAAGGATAGTTAATGCAAGACTAACACCACACAAAAGGGCAATTTTTGGACAGTCAGCCTTAACTTGTACTCTCTGCAGTTTGGTGTATTGGATGCACTGACACCAACACCTCTTCTCTTCTGTAGCAATTTCTTTTGCAGTATTTGCATTTACCATTTGTACTAGATGTACATAATGTGGCTCAATGTGTTTCATGGCAAACAAGTGTTTTTGTTTGTGTTCCTCTACTCAGCAGACCCAGAACAATATTCTTTCCTACTTTCTGGGTTATTGCCAGGAGAATGTAATATACAGAAATTGGGACACATCAATTTAGTGGGTTTAAACTGAAATTTAGTGGATGAGTAACAATCCTTTCATCTTCTACTCTTCCTAAAAGCCCATCATGGAAGAAACAAAAATAATTATAAGGCAAAGAGTTGCTCATTAAAATCCAGTCCAGAAAATTCAATAGATGTGCAGCTATGTGTGTAATATGAAACAGTGAAGCAAGCATTTCCTCCAATTAGGACCTAATCATGCAAAACCCTGTTCCCTCCTGAGAAGTCCTAGGACTACTTAAGTTAACCAGCATTTGGTGAGGATGTCAGCCTTCTGTAGTTGAAATGATAGATTTCTGGGTTGCATTTCCCACTGTGAATCTCTTCACATTCTCAAATCAAAATTTTCCAGCCCAGTTCCTCAACTCTAGATTTGACAAGAGTTGCACAAACAGGAGGCTAGGGAGTTCTAAATGACCTTGTTGTGGAAATGATCTCTATACAAACCTGCAGTGTACTTAGGCTCCACCATTAAATTGCTAATGAATGCATTCATTCTTCACAGCTTGTTAAAGACTAGGTTGCAAACTATGTTTGCTTCAAAACTGTTTGCTTTGACTAATCTGAGTTTGTCAAGTGTGATTTGTCTCACCCTCACAGTGCATGAGCTGTGCGTCCTGGCTTGGCTGTGAAACTTTTGCATAACGCAGGGATCCAATTATGCTGAGTTTTGTGTTCTAAGATGCAGAAGTTTAATTATGTGGAGTGTCTGATAAGGACTTAGCTGAACTCAAAGGCGATGAAGACAGACACTTTTGTGTTCTCTGATTCACCATTAAAAATAGCATCATTTTACTTTTCAGGTGTGCACCCTTGTTTGTGTGGGGTGAACATTTGCATAATGGACAGCAATTAGTCCTTGAGCACTTACTGGAAGGAAGGCTCAAATAACTAATCAGAAATGCTAATTACAGTGAAAACCTATACCTTTTGGCAAATTTATAACAATGAACCGGAGATCACCAGTTTCTCTCTAAACCCATAGTTTCTCCTTTATGGCAAATTATCATGACCTCATCTCAGTTCTACAGGGTCACTGATCTTCACATTCTCTGTCTTGTCAAACCTAATTACAAAACAACATGGAAATGTTTTTTTTTTCCACTCTTTATACTATTCAATGAAATGAACCACAGTGTTGCCCCTTAGTCGTGTGTGGTTTATGCTGCATCTCTATTCCTAGCAGCTCATCTTCATTCTCTTCTCCTGGAACTTTGATTCAGTTGTTCATGGGCAGTGTCTGAGATCCCTACAAGTCACAAATTCAGAAATTTCTAGAATGTTATGGTTTTCCCAGTGGTCCCTCTGATTTATTGTAGTATTCCTGCCTATTTATTCTTCTAAATACATTTTTATTCTTTTCTACATTCTCCACCAGGCATTCAGCTTTATGCCAGCTAAATTTGCATAGCTTCATGGGTTTGTTTGTGCGTGTGTTTTTGCTTTGTCTTTTTTGTTTGTTTTTGTTTGGGGTTTTGTTTATTTGGGTTTTTGTTGTGTATTTTGTTTTGTTTTGTGGGGATTTTTTGTTGTTTTTGCTTTTTTCTGTTGTTGTTGGGTTTTTTTGTTTCCTTTCCTGGATGCATTGGAGGATGCGTGGGCAGATGAGTATGAATCAGTTGGCTGGGAAATTTCTCCCTGTCTGATTGCTACATCAGTGTCTACAAGTTCATGAGCATGGTAGCCCTCTAATATTAGCCAGTCACATGTGCTTTCTCTATTGAAAAGAATGACAAACAAGCATGACTAGGAAATTATTTATCCTGTCCTAAAATAGATGGTAGAAAATGCTTCAGTCAGCTGAAACAAACTGTAGAAAATATTAAGTCCTGAGTACTTCCTTCTTCTGTAATGGGGATTACATAATCTATTTCTAATCCTTAGTTCAGAAATTTTTCCAAGATTGTGACAGCTTCTACTTTCAGCTTCTACTACTGAAGTCACACTTTGACAGAGCAAAGTGTTCAATAACTATATTATTTTTTTTAAAAGAAAAAAAATGCTTACTTTCAAGGGACTTCCTTGCCTATTTAGGATCATTTAGGTTGGAAAAGATCATAAAGTACAACTGTTAACCCAGCACTGTTCTGTTCACCACTAAAACATGACTCCAAAGACCATGTCCATATCTCTTTTAAATACCTCCAGGCCTGGTGACTCCACCACTTCCCTGGGCAGACTGTTCCAATGATTGGCAATCATTTCTCTGAAAAAAAATCTTCCCAATATCCAGACCTTCCTTGGTATAACTTAAGGCCATTTCCTCACATGTTATTGCTTGTAGCCTGGGAGAAGAGAGCAACCCCTCTGCCCACCAGGCAGGTGCAGAGAGTGCTGAGGTCCCCCTGAGCCTCCTTTTCTCCAGGCTGAGCACCCCCAGCTCCCTCCCTCAGCTGCCCCTCACAGCACTTGTGCTCCAGACCCTTCCCCAGCTCCGTTGCCCTTCCCTGGACACGCTCCAGCCCCTCAATGTCTCTCTGGCACTGAGGGGCCCAGAACTGAGCACAGGATTGGAGCTGTGGTCTCAGCAGTGCTGGGTACAGGGGGACGGTCACTGCCCTGCTCCTGCTGGCCACACCTGGCTGAGCCAGGCCAGCATGCCATCGGCCTTCTGGGCCACCTGGGCACACTCTGGATCGTGTTCAGCTGCTGTTGTCCAATAACTCCAGTTCCTTTTCTGCCTGACAACTTCCCAGTCACTCTTACCCAAGTCTCTAACTTGGGGAAACTTGAGACTTACTCATCTGGTGGTTTTGATTCCATTCCCCTTCACAAGAAATTACTGCCAGATGGTATTTCACCAACCTCAATCCATCTCACATCAACCTCTTCCATTTTAAAGCTTACCATCCATTCCTTCTCCCTTTCTGTTCCTACAAGTTCTTTAGCGATTGCCACACTAGCCAGAGGCTCCTTAAACAGATGTGTGTTCTCCTCAAGTTTCCCATCCTCCTTATCTGCCTCTTCTAATTGCCTAAATATTGACTTTGTTAATGGGCAATGAAGTAAATGAGAAGACATGTCTTCAGATGCAACATTCTATTGTAGTTAAAACATTTCTCCATGGAAATGAAAATTAACAATAGTAGTCAAAATGTTAAACTGACCTAGCACTTGAATTTTTAGTTTTGATTCTTTACTAGTAGTGGAGAAAAACACACATGAAATACTTAAATGATGTATTTTACTTAAATCCCTTTCTTTTTTCCTTTAACAGGACACTTGGGAACCTTTCGCATTTCTTGATAATTTCTGTTCTACAAGTATTAGAAAAGGTGAGGCAGAACGCTTGTACTAAAAATGTACTTTAATATGTACTTACATTTTCTGTAAGTTTCTCAATATAGCATGCTGAAGGTCATTCTTAACAGATAGCTGTTTACGATTCAAACAATAGACAGATTATATCCATTTATTTAACATCTCAAGTAAGAAGACATAAAACTACATCCTTTTCCTTTTGTCTGTTTTGGACACAGACAAATTTGAAAACCTTTAGTGTCTGATGAAAGTCATAGAACTTTATGAAGATCAGATAAATTTCTTAAAAACTTTCATCAGATACAAATGCACATAACTAAGCATTGAAGAGGTATCCTGTAGCCTTCTCTTGGGCGTAGGATTCTGTGTTCAGGCGAAAGTTCAGAGCAGGAGAAGGAAATTACTTCTATAAAGCATGCTCAGCTAGAGATTGCCTTTTCTTCCTTGTTACAGGTACAAATGAATCAGAATGTCCTGTTTCTGTTGGAATTAAAAAAATTTCTTTCTGCTTTCCAGTACGAATGGTATAATATTTACTGCATACGTTTTAGAAGAATGCAACACTTTTCTCCCACACTGCTAACAGGATCAAGGTTAGTTTTACCTGAGGACTTGGACTGATCATCTCTAAGTAATGCAAAACAAATGAAATCGTGAATATATTTTTCCAAACACTAAAGTTATTTGCCAGGACAGGGCCTATTGTTTACGTGTTTTTCCTGGTACTTTCCTGTGGCTGTCTCTGGCTGCCACAGAGACCTTGAATCACATCAACTAAGGTATTGTCATTTGTATCTTAAAGTCAGTGTCAGTTTCGCTGGAGATTTTCAGTAGGACCTGAATTTCAATGCAAGAAAGATTTGATTTCTTATGAGATCTATTAAGAAAGAAGAAAAAGATTTCTTGAAGACACATTTCCTGTTGACAGCACAGCTGCCAGAAAGGGTAGGGGGTGTCTGTTACGCTAATGTTAAATAAATTGTGTTATGTTTGCACCCTGAGGTGTTGTACAGAGGATCTATGATGCACAGAATCTTGAGAAGAAACTATCTATTGAATTTGACATTTGTGTCCATTGCTATTATGGTGGATTTTATTGTTTTGGTCACTTTCACCGGTTTTATTTTAAATCCAGAGGGTATGCATGAAATTTACAGTGCCATAAACAGGGAGAATTAAGACAGTGTTTAAAAGAAAGTCTGTGTTCTTCACATTTCTTTGTGCTTGCTTGGCTTTGCACGCTGAAGTACTTCCAGGGAAAACAGCAAGACGGCTCTGGCGAAACATATTTTCTCTGTGTGTGAGCATTTGCAGAACTGCAGTCTAAGAAACAACACTCCCCTGCTTGAGAATGCAGCTATAAAGAGGTGTGTATGAGGAGGGATTTGCTGGGTTTGGCAGCCTTTATGGCTTCCTCAAATTTCACATTTGCTTTCAGAATGAAACCCTTGGGTTCACAAACATTAGCTTTGTTATCATGCTCCTCCCATCCCTTAATGCATCCTCGCATTTCCGTATTAACACCTGGTGATACTGCTGGCAGCAGGCCCTGTTGGGTAATGTGAAACATGCTCTGGTGCACGGAGTGCAGAGCTGTAAATGGAGCTAATTCATTCATGCACGTAGACTCACAGCATCAGAGAATGGTTTGGGCTAGAAGGAACCTTAAAGAACATGCAGTTCTGACTCCCTGCCATGGACAGAGACATGTTTTACTAGACCAGCTTTCAAACAACCTGGCCTTGAACACTTCCAGGGATGGGGCATCCACAGCTTCTCTGTGCAACCTGTTCCAGTGTCTCATGACCCTCACAGTAAAGAATTTCTCCCTAATATCTAATTTAAAACTACTTCCTTTCAGTTTAAAGCCGTTTTCCCTTTTCCTATCACTACATGCCCCTGTGAAAAGCCCCTCTCCAGCTCACTTGCAGGTCCCCTGTAGGTACTGGAGCTAGACTGCGCCCCTGAAGCCTTCTCCAGGCTGTACAACCCCAAGTCCCACCGCCTGTCCTCACACCCTCCAGGGAAAGTGGCAGCCCAGGAATGCTGTGATTTGGCATATGGGCACTTCAGAAGCACTTGTTTTTGAACAGGGAAGTCAGAGTAGCGCAACTCATGAGCAACAACAAAGTGCAAGTTCACCCTTGGATTTATCAGTTTCAAAAGTGATAAGAGTTAAGAGTGCATCACAGGGGTGTACAACATGGCTATGATCAGGAAGAAATATGAAGCAGTATATATCTGTAGTGTGTGTTTAGGAAGAAATGAATGCAAAATTCAATAAGTTTACAGAGTGAGGACAAAATTTTGCTATCCCCTTAAACACCTTTGAATGACTTTTCCTTTCAAAGTTTATCACTTCCATGGTACGGCAGAAGTATCTGTAGGGTAAAATCACTAAAAACTCTCAAAGCTGATGAAATGAAGTGTTATACAGTATATTTAACCATACCTCATAGAAAATAAGACAAATATATAGAAGACAAAGAAATCTAGAAGTTTAAATGAAACAGTAGAAAGAAAAAAGTTTGTTTTGGCTAAAGGAACACATGGCACTGATGCTAGTGATGTCTCCATGCACATTAGTGACAGCTAAAATACACATTGCTGTAATTAAAAACTGTAGCCTACAGGTATTATTATTCCCAAGCTTGTTGGTAGTCAAAGATAATTAATCTGCCATGTGTTGCAAAGTACCTGATAACTGCATTGTTTTAACACAGCTATGCCTTAATTCCACAGATGTCCATCATATATTAAGCTGGACTTCACCAGTTTCCTTCACTGTCATCTTTACTGGTGTCAGAAGAGCTAAAACTGCTGAATTTGATAGAACAGGTTTCTTGCTTTCTGCTCTGGAACAATTTAATGTGTAAAAAAACTATGTAATGACCGAGCAGCTGGTAACTTCACAAGTAAAGTCCAAACTGCTGACAGTTGAAGCAGTAATTTGCATCTTTGCAGTGAAGAGAAAACATGATTATTTAATTCCAGTAAATATTAGGGATCAAGCTGGAGGGAAGACAATTAAATTTACAGGATATAGAAATTTCTGTGGAAAAAACCCCAGAGGAATGCCAGGCAGGTTTCTAATCACCAGAGGAATGAAGCTCTGAAGCAGCTCTCTTGTGAGAAGAGGAGTAATTGGAGATTCTTCAAAAGGAAATTTGGTAAATCTTTGCGGGGGACTACCCAATTTGTTTTCCAGACAGCTCTGAACTCAGTGAACAAGAATGTCTTTCACATGGGCCTTCTTCTTTAAGTTCTTCCTTGCTGGGTGTGTTCAGGTTACACTGGAAATTCTTCATTTTCAGCATTTACCTTTCTCATTTGTGACAAGGTACGAGAGCAATAAAAAAATGGAGGTGACAGCAGTGACAAAGGCATTGTCCCAAAATAGACCTTTCACCGGTATGTGGCAACATGAGCTCAGCACCCTCACTGTGCCTTGGCCAGCTAGATAGGAGCGTGCTGTGCTGCAGCTCGACTAGAGAGAGAGGAAACTCTGAAGGGAGGGCCAGCACCAAGTGCCAGGGCTCACCTGGGACGGTGCAGAGCCTTCGTGCAGTACCTGAGTGGAGGCAGATTGCACAGGGCTCGATTAATTTTCTCCCAGTTATGCAACTTTGTACTTCACCCAAATAACAGAGGAGCCACTATTGTAAAGCATAGGTAATGTGAAACTCCAAAACAAGGAAAACACATACATAATAGATTTATTGTGCAGTTACTGGGTTACATAAGCATGGTACGACACATTTCAAGTTGCTATAAATTGTGGGTGGGAGTAAGGCTTTGAGATCCTGGATTCCACAAGTCTCGGGGTAAACCTCTGACCCCTCGAGGCCAATGATAAAAATCACTGATATCAGTCCAGGCTGCATTTCCCTTCAATCTCTTTATCCCATTCTCACCAGCTGCCACTGTGTCACACCTCATAGAGAAAGAAGGTAAAGAGCAGTTTCATTGTGACCTTTCCATAAATCACCTTTCAGTATGGAAAAAATGTAACTCAAGAAGCCTGTCACAGTTTGGTTTTTTTATTTTTTTACCCTGCAGAAATTAAGACTACTTAAAAGAACAGGTTATGTTTTTTCCAAAGAGAGAATTAGGAATAGCACTTTTTTTTTTTTTTTTTCAATAAGTAAGAATCCATTATTTTGCTGAAAACACTGCTGGTGGATGAGACCCTTTTTCAGACTGAAATGGTAAAAAAATTTCACTTCTCTAGAGAACTTAGCTAATGCTTCAAAAGATTGTCATTGATGACATTAAATAAACTTATTGCTATTTTCATAAATCATGCACAATAAAAACCAGAGCATGTTCCATGCTCCTTCCAAAACCAAGTACCAGAGAAAAATGTATTCCTATTGTGCAGTCTGAATGTTTTGCAATCTTTTCCTTGATTCAAATATTTTAATGTGAAAATAAATGGAAAATCATTATATCTGGATGCTCCAGATCTAATATATAATGCTAAAGTTCACAAAGTTGCACTGAAAATCCCAATAAGAAACATTACATAACAAAAAAATAGATAGCCTCTAATACCCCATTTAACTTGAAATTAGAAAATTGCCATTTTTGATGGAACATTAAAAATTAGTTACTTCTCCAGTTTCTTGGCGTATTTACAAGTCCATGCAAAAATATTTAAATTCTATGATTTAAATACTATGATTCTATGAAATACAGAAATTGTAGATGTTAACTAAATGTTTACTTATAAGTCCACAAATAAATATATTTTCTACTGTGATAATAATGTTACTTAGAAAATGTATTTTGATTATTTGTAATTATAACACACATTTATAATTTATTTTGTTATTTATTTTGATGGTTCAAAATGTTTTTATTCAATAACCTATAATGTGTCCAAAAAATCAAATCAATTATTTAGTGCAGATGATCCCAGAAGTAGTTTCATTTTCCTCCACAGAGTAATTATTCCTCTCCTTTCTCTATCCACAAGGCCAAAACGTGATCAAATGTCCTGTTTCCTTTGTCTGAGGGGATTCTGTTCTGGTGGACAGATGGTGGTATGGCTTCTCCAAATTTTCATCTAAGAGGTCTATTGCTGAAAATAATCAGACTCCCAATGGAAGGTCTTGATGTCACGGAGATTTCATCTGTTGTAACGGCACCTGCTTTTCTTGTCTTGGAAAAAGTAGTCTGCCTTTATCTTAGCCAGTCTGTTATGGATGCTGATCCACAGAGTTACTGTTCTTACTTATAGATTTGTGCCTTTGAACAGGTCTCTTATACTCTTGACAACTGCTTCCTTGTGTGTTTATCCTGATTTTCTGGATTGCTCATTGGTGTGTCTGCTAAATTCAATAACAGCAATAGATGTTTCCTTTGATCAGCATGTTTGACAAATTGTGTTTTCACTTTTTTACTCAAGGAGCAAGACATGAAAAAGATTTTGCTTTTCACTGGTCGAAGTAGAAAAGAAAGGGATATGCATTCAGGACACTCATTTGGATGTGGAAAACTGGAGGCTATGTGAGGCAGGGACAAATTTGTCCCAGTTTTGGATCACAGGTTTATTCCTCTTGGTTTTGTTTCTGATGTAGATAGAAAAGGAGGATCCATTCACAACAAGTAAGGCAAAAGACTAAAAATCATTCAAGGAATTGCAGATACCAGATGTGAAATATGTTTGTCTTCTGCATAGGTTCCACAGTTCTGAGGAAAGACATAATAGCTTTATATTCCATGTATACCTAGGTCTCAGGCTGTCCTGGGGGTCAGAATGGCTTATTCCATCTCTTAGTAAAAGGAATAGAGGCATAAATGCTCTTGCCTAAATTGCTTTGGGCGCAAGTGTCGTACACATTTGCAGGTTCTCTGCAACACAGATCCATTGGCCAGTCTTCTGGCAGTCATCTGAAATGTCTTGGATGAAACAGTTTCTAGCAGAGAAAATTTATGATTGGCATAAAAAGGTACAAAGGAAGGAATACAAAAACTAAATTTGTTTAAATACATATAATTTTTTTGGTACAATGCAAACAGCTATGATGAACAAAACAACAACGAAAGGCATTAGACTTCATTCATATCCATGCTTTAAACTATGATTCCTCAGTGTTTTAATGAGTGATATGCAAATCCTCTACCTCTGTTTTCAGCTAAATAATTGTGCAGTTACTGTGTTAGGTCCCCTTCATAAGATCACACAGTAAGTTCTTTCAAAATAAAAAGGGAAAAGTGGTGAGTGGTTTCTGCTCTGTCATCACCTTCTTCTTGATGAAACCAGATTGTGTTGATAAAAGCACAGGCTGAAGATGCTGTAGATTGAATTCCAAAAATAGATACTGGATGGGCGTGAATATTTGCTTCTTTGCTCATCAGTCTTGCATAGTGTGGGAACTCAGCACATCACTCTGGCTGTCCAGAGTTACCGAGACAACCCTTGGGGGGGGCACGGAAATCCTGGAATGTTGCCAGGAGCGTCTGGTGGCTTGACTTTGACCCGTCAAGGGATGTGCCACCTGTTTGAGGACATGAGAGTCACTTGGGAATGAATGGTGTAAGAATGATGATGTATTTACAGGGTAAAATATAGATTTTAGGGTTTTGGTACAGGGGGGTTATGGAGACAAGATGGAGGGATCAGGGCATGTCTTGTCCTTCTTTCTTCTTCTTGTCATCCATTTTCTGTGGTGATGTTGGCACTTTGGGATTGGTCCTTGGTGAAGGTGCACTTGCTAATATGGGTGAAAGGTATTGGGAAATAAAGGTAAATATGATGTACGTAGTTTTTAGTATAAAAATAGACAACCGCCCAGGGGGAGGTCAGAGTGCCCTTGGCTGCCTTGCTGGTCAGACCTCTGTTGGGCTGAAAGAAAATTTTATAGATAAGAAATAATAAACAAATCAAAGACTGAAAATCTGAAGAGTCCAGACTCATCCTTTGAATCGCGGGCTGTCCCAAGGCCCTCCTACGCGTGACCGGGCAGAGACAAACATCCGGAATGGACGCATGGGACCACTTAAACCACAAGATGGTTCTTCCTCCAGACAGCTGCTCTCCAGAATATTTTTCTGGTTCTTTTGGGAAAGAAGAATGGCTTCTCCAATGGTTTCCCATTTTGTCACCCTGTTCCCTGGAAATGCAGGTCTTTGAGGAGAGGCTGGAAAGGGTTTCTTATTGAAATCCATTAGAATAGATCCTATGTAAAAGAGAAGTAAAATATTTTGTTTCCAGGAGTTTCTGAGGTGCTTCAAAATACCCACGCTGATTAAATGAAGATGTATTTATTAGAATAATGTTATATTGCTAGGTTGAGTTTTGGCATTTCCTCATTGTGCTCTGTGTTTATATAGAAGGAAAAACCTTAGAAAAGGATTAACCCTGTTTCTAGACCTCGTGTTCCAGTTTTTACTTTCTTCTATGTCCATCTGATGTTCTGCTGAGTACTGCCATAGCAACCACTTTAGCAACTGGTTTTTATAATATTAATCACATTTTCCTTCCTCTGCTAAATTATAGGGCTTTGGACCAGAAAAAAAGTAAGAAAATCCTTAAAAATGAGGAAAATGGAAAAAAGGAAAAATAACTTGTTCATTAGAGGAGCTGCAAATCTGGAGCTGCAAATCTGCAAATCTCCTCTTGGAGTCCTTTACCTAATCTTAGGCTGTTTGTCAATGACACGTTTCAAACAGAGCAGACAAATTCAATCTCATGTACCTTTAATTTACTGTCACGAAGAAAAAACCTTGGTGAAGAATTTCTGGGATTGAACTTCATACTTGCCACATCCTGTCTGCCTTCATTAAATGCCCCCACTGCCCTCTCTAGGCTAACACGTCTGTTGGCACAACCGTATGATTGATGTTGAGTCACTGAGAGGAGTTTTGTAATCACCTCTAGACAGAGCTCCGAGAAGCAGTTCTTCTGTGGAAGGGTGTGAGATGTGAGCCCCAGTGAGCACCATCAGCTGCTGACTGATACCCCTGAACATCCACAGAACTTGTCTTGTGCTGAACCCATGTCAGTAGCTACTGCTGCCTGCCACAGGAAAAACTGTTTGTCTGACTGCTACCAGCCTCTTTTCAGCTTTCTCATGCTCTATAAAAGTTATTTACATTTTGAATAAAAGATAATTAACTGTTAGATAATTCAAAATCAATTCACTAAATTAATCTTCTGGGGGGAAAAAAGTTTTCTGTATTTGATAGGGGTTTCTTCACCTATTTAGAATCATTTAGGTTGGAAAACACCTGTACTGTCATCCAGCCCAACTGTTAACCCAGCACTCTGCATTTACCACTAAATCATGTTCTTATGCTCTGTATCTAAATGTCTGTTTAAACATCTTCAGGGGTGGTGATTACCTCACTTCCCTAGACAGCCTGCTCCAGTGCTTAATACCACCTTTTCCATGAACAAAATTTTCCTGCTATCCAATAGAAACCTCACCTGGCAAAACCTGAAGCATTTTTTGTCTTGTGCTGTCACTTGTCACCTGGGGGATGAGACCAAGCCCCAGCTCGCTGTGACCTCCTTTTTGCATTGCAGTGGTGGCTCTCCCCTCACCAGGGTGCCTCAGAGACTCACCTTACATCATGAGCCAACGCTGAAACCTGTGTTACCCCAACTCCAGCTTTAGCAATACCTGAGCTATTGACACACAGTGCCCAAAGGCAGCACAGATTTGGCTATATGGGCTGCGCTACGTGTAGCACCTCCATACATTCATTACCAAACAACCCAAACTGACTGTCAAATCAACTCTGAAATACTGATGTCAGTACAAAACTGACATCCTTACTTGCTCTTGACATTCATGGGGTCAGCATGAACTACTCATCTCTTTGTTATGGTAGGTTTTTTTGTTGAAATAAATGTGGAATAAACTAGATTAGGCTAGATTAAACTAGAAGAGTTCCAGTGGAGAGGACTTACAGCGCTCATCCAGCTCAAGTGCCTTCATGGCTGACCAATAGTTAAAACTTGTTACTAATGGGATTGTCCAAATACCTCTGAAACACTGACAGCCTTGGGACATCCACCACTTCTCTAGGAAGTTATAGTGTTTGACCACACTGTCATCAAGAAATGCATCCTAATGTCCACTTTGAACATCTTCTAGTGCAGTTTTGAACTGTTCCCCTGTCAGCAGATCCCAGGAAGAAGAGCAGAATTATATATTGGGATTTGAAATAATCTGATGATTACATGGCTTGGATATGGAGCTGATACATTTCAGTGGTAAAGAAATTGCAGCTGGTAAAGAAATTGCATTCAGCTTAATCACAGAAATAAATCAACAAATGTGCTATTTTAGGAAACAATGTGCTTATATTAACTTCCTTATCTCCACAGAGCACAGGCTGACAGGAAACACAGCCAGTTTGCTGCAAGGATAAATACTCATCCTTCATTTTCAGTGTTGCATCTACTTAGCTACTGATTCCTCTGAAGTCTTTATGAATACTATTTGGATGGCTCTTTCCCATATTTCTTCAACTTTTTAAAATCAAACATTTGGAAGAAAAACAGATAATGCTGTACTTTCCATATTTTTGAAAATGTATTTGAAATGGCAAGATTTCTTCACTGCAACCATATGATCATAGGGTCATAGAATGGTTTGGGTTGGAAGGGACCTTAAGTGTCACCTAGGTCCAAGCACCCTGCCATGGACTGGGAGAAGTGAGATCTAAATAGTGCCTTTGACAGCGAACTTTGGACATGTGGTATCAGAAAGTGGGCAGAGGCAGGTCTGTTCAGCCTGCTGGTGGAGTGAGGAGCAGTGAGATAATAAAAAACCCGCTCCTTCCTCTTCCTGTGGTTTCCCCCTCAGGAAAGCATGCAACCCTTGCACTTGTACACTCCCAGCAGCCCTGCTGTGGCTGACTAACCTTCAGTCCTCATCTACACAATTGGGTTCAGACAATTTCACTTGGCTGGTACAGTTTACATAATATAATCTGCAGGGATGCAGCTAGACATTCTCATACCTTAAAAAAATAGAATGAATAAGCCACAAAACGAAATATTTGAGGATTTTGGTGTAATGTACTTAGTAGAAAATCTATAAGAAGGCATATGAAACTGTTTGGTCTAAAAGAAACCTGAAGAAAATGTAAGTAAGAAACATCATTAGGAAATGAGAGAAGTTTCTGGGATTGATAGAAAAGGCTCATGAACACCAACCCATGACTGCTTTTCTCTAAGGATAATATCCACTGTAAAGAAGATATGGAAAATCAGATTTAAATCTTTGATGATACTTTTAGTATTAGCCTTCAAGGAAAGTCAGATGTTCTGCACAGTGCCTTTGCTGAGTCCTAGCTGCAGTAGCACAGACCTTTGGTTTAGTTCCATATGTGTTTATTTTATTACCCACGCCTATGCCAGAAAACACACAAGCCCTCTATTCACCAAGCCAAATGAATTCAATGCCTCCTATGAAGATTTTATAGCTTTTTCAAGTGTGGTTTCTTTAGAAGGAATCAATGTGTTTGCTTAGTGGTTGGAGCAGCTGCAATAACATTGTATTCACTGTGCAACCCTATTTCATTTGCTTAGTAAGTGTGAGCTGATTTTAAGATAGGTGGGTCAGAATTTTCCAGGAAAGATTTCTTGTAAAAGTCATGGAGATTTTTTTGAAAAGTAACTGCCTCTTCAATTTTCAATCAAAAATAATTTTTCCTATTTCATTAGGAAAAGAGAGAGAAGAGAAGAGAAGAGAAGAGAAGAGAAGAGAAGAGAAGAGAAGAGAAGAGAAGAGAAGAGAAGAGAAGAGAGAAAATTAAAATTATTCAGAAAAGAGAAGTATGATAGATAAGAGACATAAATTATCAAAATTGATTGGGAGGGAAAAGATGTGAAAAACACACTGTTTTTCCACTGATTCTTTTATAATTTTATCTATTTTAAGGTATTTTTATTATATATGTCCTTAATTCATGTAAATATTTCAAATTTCACTTCTGTGTAGATGAAATGAGAGCATTTTAAGAATGATCAACATTTTCCTGGAGAGGGGGTGAGCAGTAGTGATGTTGGAAAATATGCTCTAGGTAAGAATGTATCTGCTATATGTACTTAATACTTTGCCTGCAGATTCAAGTCCTCAGACTTAAATCTGTCACCTCTGTGACAGCTGTTGTTTTCATCTGGTGTAGTTTGGAGGATATCTCTGTGTTGTCCTTTTCTCTCTTCTTCTGTGTTTACAGATCTTTATCTGAACTGTTTATTTCAGGACTAGTTTGTGCCTTGTACGATGTGAAAAAAGATGAAATAAATATTTTGTGGATCTTCTAGACATTCTTACCTTTAAAACTGCAGGAGCCATGATTTGATGAACCATGCCTGTGCTTTATGTTTAACCCTGGCTTGAGTGTAGATCTCACCTTGCCTATGAAACTGGCAGCCTTGGGGAGGCTGGAGAGATGGCAGAGCAATCTTTGTCTGCCTTTAGCTCTGTTCAGGGGAGGCATTCTCTAAATTACTGTCCAGAGATTGGAGTAAATCAGGTCTGGACTGAGTATAATGATGCTTTGTTGAATGGCACATGTCAGTGGCTTCCTTGACAGCTTCAGTTTGTGCTCCCTTTAGACAAGGAGATTAGGAACACCTGTCAGAACTGCACCACTGGGCTAGCAGCAGAGGGAACACTAATGTAGGTCATGTACAAAGAATCTGTCAAAAAGAGGCCATAGAAAATCTGCACTAGATTTGCTGCAACAAGGACTGCTGCCTTGGTCACAGCGAACCCAAAGTCACCTTGATGGAGGTGTGTGGGGTGGAAGGAGGAGCAGAAGAGTCAGAGGGCTACAGATCAGCCAAGTTTAGCATGTCCATGTGCAGCTACCACTCACAGAGCATCTCTGCAGTATGTTGCCTGAATCCTCCTCAAAGTTATTTAAGTACACACATACGTGTGCATGTGCTTTTGTGTGTGCATCTAAAAAGATTCTGTGCTATTTTACTGGGCCAGCTCTCCAGCATAGTCTTCTCCCTGTTCATCCTACCAACGAGACCAATGTGCTTCACAACTGTTTTGAAGGAGCAATAGCAGTCTCCAAAGGATATCCTACTTTATAATTTCTTCCCATTTTATAATTGTGGTGTGGTGGCTGCCAACAAGTCACTGCTATGATGTCTCTTGTGAAATAGTTGCAGCAGCTGCAGCTCTGATTCAAATTCTTGTGAAAGACATCTGAATGGCCTTGTCAGACACAAGTTGTCTTGTTAGGCATAAAATTAAATGGAAACAAACAAAGCTGGCATAAAAATTCAAAGGAAATAGTCCACAAAATATTTTGCCAATAAACCTCACTGAAAGCTGCAGCACAAACATCTGTGAGCCTGATGTTCGATGGACTTTGAGAGAGATGGAATGACACTCAGGCTGTGGCTGGTGTCAGTAAATTTTGTGGTACTGGAAAACATTCCCAGAAACTAGATCTCAATCCTCTTTCCTGCTGGATTGCTGAAATGTCTCTTGCGTGTCTTCATTTCACACCAACCCTCTGGATGGTTCCCAGGCACTACTCAGGACACGTCATATGTCAGGGACAATTCCCAAATAACCTGTTTGGAAGTAGACAAACTACCTGACAGATTAAGAGCATTTAGAGCCTGAGTGTGAGCAGTTTCACATCTCTTGGACACCATGTCTGTGAATGGTGCCAATTGTATTCCATCTCCTGCTGGAGACATAGCCTTAGGCTTTAGGCTCCATCTTATATGCTTCACTCTTGCCTCAGTCTGATGATTTCTCTTTGATCTGGTCATATCACTTATATCTACAGCTGGAGACCAGTCCCCAGCACTGATTAAAGTATTAGCTGAGCTACAGTCATGTCACCTCTGGTAACATGCATTTTTGCACATGGCACTGTATCCTGTGAGCCTCAGAATTAGACTTAGTGGAAATAAAATTAGTCTTGTAACAGATTTAGGAGATGACTCACATGCCAGAAAGAATAGGGCAACCAGTTTATGAAACATTTTTCTGGGGCAATTTCCAGTTTCTGATGAAAAATAAAAATTGTATAAATTGCATATTTTTTCAGGAAGTTTATTTTCCCAAGAAATTCTCGGAATTAGTTATTTTTGGCCAAGTGTCATAAAGGTACAAGTCCAGTGAAATCCTGTGTGAATTTCTACCAGCTTGTGGGAAGCTGTGAAGGGTGGCTGCAGTATATGGGATTTCACTGGATTGTTGCTCCAAAATGGTATAAATAGGCTGACTGCTCCAAGTCGAGAAAGCCCAGCAGAAACAGTGATTGTCACAGCTTTTAGCACAATGCTGATTGAATTTTGTCTGAAAGAACTTTACATTTTTCACAGAAGAGATTCTGGTCCCCTTGGTCCCTGGTTTCACTAATTGAAGTGGTAGGCCAGTAGAGCTCAGTAGAAGAATTAGGGTTTGGGATTTCTGCTGTAAACTTGGGCTGGAATGGATCCAAACAAACATTGTCTGCCCTCTTCTAAGTGATAATTTGATTCATGCTCTTGCAGAAATGGTGTGCATCCATCTTCACCCTCTCCAGCTGCTGAAGCATTTACTTAGGGGGTAACAAGTCACCTGGGTCAGAGATCTGTGGCTGGAGTTTGACCTCTCTGGTAAAACAAAGGACTAGAGAAATTATGTTGGATTTGGCACCTAATTTATTGAGATGACTGCCTATATGGATGTTGAAATTAAACAGATGAAAGATGAGCTTTGGGGAAGATTAGAAAAAAGGTAATCGAGAGCTTTGTGGAGCCTGAGGTTTGGCAGAGAGATCTGCAATCAATGGCTTGTCAGATGCCTTGGACATGCTTAAAGTGGGTTGCTGTTTTGACTAAAGACCAAGTGGCACACTGATGAAATACTTTAGTGCTAACTCTGCCTTGTGGAGAAGGATGTTATGGAGTGTAGTTGACAAACAGCAGACATTGAACAGGACCTCCCCATGGCATTAGATTGCAGTGGCACCCTGAAGCAAACCCACCCAAACAGACTGAGATGATTGAAAGGATATGCTCTTAAAAAACCTGAAATAACAAGCCACAAAAACATGTTATGAAACAGTGGAATATTCAGGGGAAAAAGAGGCTTTTGCAATTTTTACAGGGTTCTAAGGCTCGACCTATGAGTTTATTTGACATTCAGATTTGTTTTCCTTACCATCTCCCAAAATAAAGGCTACTAAAACTTGGATATGCTATCAGAGTACCCTGAAGGGAAAAGAACTGAGAAAGACCCAGCTGCATGACAGATGACCAGTTGGGAAGAAAACGGGGTGATGTAGACAAGAAAGCAGGGTTGGGTATGCTACCCTTATCCACATGAGTGTGGCAAACCATCAAAGCTGCAAAGAGGAAACACTGACTCTTGCTGTACTAATGAAACAAAAATAGGACTGAAACGAATTCCTTCTTATCTAAAATTATCTTTCAAAACAGGGCAGATACATGCAGATTGCTTGATTTCTTGAGGAAAGCCTCTGCACTCTACTGACCCCTGAAACATATCCAAATGCAAATTTGTGCAGGACAAAATTATGTCAGGAATAAACTTATTAATTTAGGAGTATAGAGCATTAATTCTCTGCTGCTGGTCAATTTACCTCACTGAAGACAAGGAACCAGTATTTCCCAAAGACATTTCAGGATTTTTCTCCTCCACACTACAAGCTGACAGATCTTGCTAAGCTCTTCAGGATATGCTTAATATTAAAGAACCAATTCCTCATATTAGGGTCCTACAGCCTCCTCTCACACAACAGGGAAACAGTTATCCAGAGGCTCCTTAGAGAAATCCACAACAAAAAGCAACATTATAAATTTATGCTGATATTTATGTTGCTTCTTACTGGCCAGCAGTAAAAGCTGTCACTTGTGGGTTTTATTAAAATAATTTTTGCAGGCAATGATGGATAAAATTTTGTTCTTCCACCTCTTGTCTCACAATGATATGTCAGAAAAAACTTCCTCAGAATTTATTGAGTCAGTCTAGTTTTGAAAGAGTAGCATTAGATCCATTCCTTTATAATTGTTTAAATGAGTTTGTTTGGGATTAAGGTTTATCAGTCCATTCATTTAGCATTCACTTTCTAAACTGACCTCAAATTTATCTCCTAATGGGATAAATTTTGGATTTCACACAAATACCAAGGATTTTTTATTTCACACTTCCACATTTTAAACTGTTGTCATGTCCCACATTGTTAAGCTGTTTCTCCCCAGGTAGCTCAGGAATAGACTGATTTCTCAACATAAGTTTCAAGGGTTGGTTCTCAGGTAATCCTTGAATTTGCAAAGTTTATTTTCCACGTACCATTTGTTCCCACAGTCCATTCCTCTGTGCTGGCAAAATTATTGTCCCCTACTCACTCTTCCCCAAGGCAGAAGCATGTGCCAGGGTCCCACAGGGGCTATCAAAGGGACTGAGTCACAGTGGTGGAGCAAAATGACAGCAGAGGAAAGAGGAAGAGCGCCCTGACACAGCATTCCAGAAACTCTATTTCTGATGAATAACCAAGGCATTTCCTTCTTGAAAGGAAAGACAACCCAGCATGTGACCATGAACAGTGACTGAAACACTGCAGGGAAATCAATCATTTAGGCACTTCAGGGAAGGAAATCAGATCTAGGGAGAAATGTTATGTCCCCACTAGTGCAAATCCAATGCCTTGTGTAGAGTATTCAACTGCAGGGTTAAGGTTGTGCAGTGCTATGAAATAGTACTACAGCACCATTCTAAAG